GCAAGCTTGTTGTGACAGCCAATCTGAAGCTTGCATTTTGAAATCAATGCTTTGGATTGGCTGTCGCAACAAGCTTGCGATCGGCTTGCAACTAATGTAGAACCGGCTTTATGCTATGCGTTAAGCCGATTCTACATTAGTTGCAAGCCGATCGCAAGCTTGTTGCGACAGCCAATCCGAAGCATTGATTTCAAAATACAAGCTTCAGATTGGTTGTCGCAACTAGCTTGTGATTGGCTTGCAACTAATGTAGAACCGGCTTTATGCGTTATGCGTCATGCAAAAGTCTGTGCTAAGGCCTTTACTCGACATTCTAGAGATAAAATAATCTTTTTTTGTGGCTGAAATCCAAGATCGCGCGGCAAATTTTGCAATAAAATGGCATGTTTTGATTGGTCAATTCGGATACGCGTAACGCGCTCAGTGGGAACGCACCCTGATCACAGTCGACAATTTTGCTGTGAGTCCGCACTCAATATCCGGTTTTCGATTGATATCTTTCTACATATCGCTCATAGTTTATGTATGTTCAAACGAGTTTCTTTCCTCCGGTTCCTCGTGGATCTTTCTTTCACCGTTTGTCCTGTTGGAAGGTATGTGATGTTGAATTAGGCTTACAAATGTGTATGTAATTATTTGAATACACAGAGGATTAATAAATATGAATGTTACAGCCGTGAGTAGAATCGCTGATTGCAAAAATGGTGGCTCAGAAGAAACAGGTAATTGCATCGTCGCATCCACGTGCTTGTCCATGAATATTCTTGGTTATTCTTGTAGCGAAGTTTAACGCTTTCAATACATATTTATCAAATATATACTTTATCAACTATAATATTACTATTACTATTATAATTATTTTAACGTATGTGTAAATCATATTTGTGATTGCTCTCAAATTAAGTAAAATGATGGGACAGAACCTATGTGCAACCATGTGACAACGATCTGGAATTAATTGACTTGTCTTAGACTTATTTTATTATTTTTTTAAAACTATTTCTCTTTGACTAATGCTAAAGATGTGAAAAAAAAGTATTAGAATTTTTCAGATAAAGCAAATATATTCTGCTAATCTATTTTTTGTTCTGTAATTTTAAGCATATTAATGAAATATTATTGCTTGATTATGCAGAAAAAGGCTCAGGAGAGCATCAACACCAGATTAGCTCTTGTCATGAAATCTGGTAAATACGTCCTTGGTTATAAGCAGACTTTGAAGTCTCTCCGCCAAGGCAAAGCCAAATTGGTCATCATTGCTAGTAATACGCCGCCGCTAAGGTGAGACTGAGAAGTAGCACTCCTTTTGTACCAAATTGACATGTTTAAAAAAGACATTTCTTAAATGGACGAATTTAGTAAATTTATAAATAGAATTTTTCATGTTCATGTATATATTTATATGTATATATATATATATATATATATATTGTTTTGAGAATTACTAAAATACCAATGCTATTAAATGAGTAATCCACATTTAAAAATTACGCAATAGAGATTGATGATACTGTCAATTTGTCTATTATGAATCGAATAGGAGTACTATGGAGTAGTCTCCTGCCCGTGCTTGTAAGTGCATGGGTTGAATTATAATGCTTTAACATTCTAACTGTAGTTTGTCTGAATTTAACAGGAAATCTGAGATCGAATACTATGCGATGTTGGCGAAGACCGGCGTACATCATTACACGGGGAATAATATCGAATTAGGTACAGCTTGCGGTAAATATTTCCGTGTCTGTACTCTTTCGATCACAGATCCCGGCAATTCCGACATTATAAAGTCCATGCCGACTGGTGATCAAGCGTAATGCACGTGTTTAATTTAATAAATAATATGAAAAAGCCCTGAAAAATTATTTCAAATTTATTTTCGTCCTTATGCGATACACGCGTATGCATGTATAAAATGATTTTAATTGAACAATTATTTAAAATAGTAACAATTTACATTAGATTATAACAGATTACATAGTTTATGTTAAGATTAAATATTTTATATTTAGTCATATTCTGTTTCTATAGAGAATAGAAAGCAGGCAAATTATAATTACTGTTACTATTAATGATTCAGCTTGCTCGCACATTGTTCTTCCAAGTGATTTGGTTTGTTGCAAAGATGACACGTTCGACCCTGCGCTGGACAATTGGTTGCCGCATGACTCGTACCACATCTCGAGCAATTGTTGACAAAAGGAGTTTTACATTTGAGTGAAAAATGATTTCTCTTGTCACATTTTGTACACCGCTCGCCATATGCCGGACAACGTGATTGAATATGACTCATTCCACATTTAGTACAGTCATCCACATACTTAACTTTACAATTATCCGTGAAGTGATTGAATTGTTGACACTTGTTACATTGGGCACCCCAAGCGGGACATCGATTTCGTCTATGTTTCGTACCACATCGAGTACATTCTATTACAGCGGATTTAACATTGGAAGAATCTTGCTTCGGTGTATCCTCGACTTTTTGTGCCATTAAATCTTCACATTGTTTCCAAAACAAAGTGAGATGGTAGAAATCTAATGATTGCAAATACGGTATCAAATCTTTTCCTTTACTTTCTATGAGAAGCGCAGCTTTTCCTGTGAAACGCTGAGTACTTATATCTTGAATAATTTTTTCTTTCACAATCTGTACAGGATCAATATAATTCTTCGCGATAGCCATACACTGCAAAAAAAAAAACGAATATACAAGTAATTACAAAAATCATATTTAAAAGTGTATAGTTATTATTATAAGTATTTTTATTAATGTACCTTCAAATCATTTATATAATTATCGATGTCTTCGCAGCCTCGTTTTTTATCCCCATATAAATGCCGTAGGCAATAGATATCAAATTTCTTTATTAATATATTTATATCTGTCTCCGCATTTTTATCGTAAGAAGGAAATGATCTATAGATCTTCTGACCAACTGGACCTATACGATTTAAAAGCATGTTACTCCATACCTGTTTATTTTCTTCATTTTTATCAATGTTTTTCAAGTAAGCAAGGAATTCATTCTTCCATGAAAACCAAGTTGTAAAAAATTCATCTTTTGTAATAAACGTATGTGGTGCTGCCACAGTTGCGACTATAGATTCATTTTCATTAGATAATTCTGTTTGTTCATTGTTCACAGGTTCTGCCTCTTTACTAGAAGGGCTACCTAAAGATGTTATATTTATGACAGTTTTATTACAAAGAAAAACATAAAACATTCTATATATATATATATAATTACCCATTTTTTTCTATAATCACTCCAATATAATATACGCAAAAAAGGATTTATATGTTTTGATATTGACACTATTTAAATAAGATAAGATAAGAAAGTGAAGACTTTATAACATCACTTAATCTCACAAATATCTCATTATTAAAGTACTAATATTAAATATATGTAGTATTGCGTTTCATATTATCACATATATGGATATGAAACAATTTGAAAGTTTTGAAACTATGCAATATAATATCCGCTTGTTCCGGTATACACTGTCAGTACTGAAAATATTAATAACGTCCAGCTGTTAATCAAATGTTATCTGCGATAAGGGTGACAAATAAGATAATAAGAACTTTTCTTTCTGTACAAAAGTAAAAATAAAGGTGAATCCCCCAATATTCTCACAGACATGAGACAAAAGGTGCGCACATTCAGCGGACTCAGCAAATCGAAAGATCTAATCTAATTGAATGACTAAGAATACACCAATATCAGTGAGCGCTCACTCAATTGTTGAGTTCGCTGAATGCACTCAAAGTGGCCTAATTTACACCGAACATTTGACACGCGTACTAACTAGTAACTTAATTTCTATTAAATTTTCTTAATTTTGACGATGCATATAAACGTGCATATATGATCGATATATGTATTTAATTAATCATCTTAATGCAATAGTGTATCAGCTTAAATGCATTGTAGAAATTGAGATAATTTGATAGAAAGTTTCTAAGTTAGTAGATCAATTAGTGTTCGGTGTAAACTTTTAAGCTAGTGCGTTCAACGAGAAAGCAGCTTTGTAACTGTGTGAAATTCTTCAACATGATTGATTCTTGCCCTTGGTTCTTCATGGATTTAAATGTATAAACCAATCACATTAAAGAATTTTACAAAAAGTTATAAAGTTGCTTTTTCTTTTAAACATATAGCCATTGTTTTTTTTTTAAATTGAACAAATCGAATCAGTTTTAAAAAATAGTTATGGATGAGCAAACTAGACTGCAATAATTAATAGTATCGACGAGATATTATTAAAGATCGACAACCTTACGGAAGTTAGCGCGGTTTAGTAATTGCTAAAATTTAAGCAATTAGTCAATAATATATAATATTATTTAATGATTTATTGTTAGATCAATGTTTTTCATGTATGTATACATTGTAATTCATCTGTATATATTATTGCAGAAGTGCCAAATTCGGAAATGTCGAAATGAATTTCTTTCTATCCATTTTAATTTATTTTTGTTTGCTGGGTAAATAATGTAATAAATTGAACACACAATTGTAAATGTAATGTATATACATATATACACAAAATACAACATACATACATATATAATACATATAAAGCACCAGAATGCGATTTTATCGACAGTGTCAAAAAATGGATGTGTCTATTAATGCCAATTTCTAAAATGGATATACTAGCTGTAGTATAGGGAGTTCCATGAATAAGGATAGGATGGTCGCTCTCAGACTTCTATTGAAATCTGTGGTTAGTGGTACATAGATCCTTGGATCCGAAATCCAGAGGGGAAGGAAAGAAGACTTCTTTATTCTCTACGTTCTTTGCTCTACAGTTCGACACTAACCTGATTGTTCTTTTTATTTCCATATTCTTACAACGTGATTAAAGGTAAATTCTAAGTTTTCTGTAATTTAAAAATAAGAAAATGATTGAATTCGATGCCATTGCATTAATACTTTTGCATTTTATACATCAGGCATCAGATATCTCCAATATGTGATTGTAAAGCATATGACATGTGCTTCCGGTTGTTTATCGACACATGCGTTGTGATTAATTAACGATTGCATTGTCAAAATTAATATTGTTTTATATTTTTATTCACATTGAATGAGCAGTCTATTTTTTTTCGTCGTTTTTAAACTTTTTAAGTAATGTCATTGAAGTTCATAAATAAATACAATATCTTGTAAATACTTAGGAAATTAATTTTTTGAAGAGACAAATTTTAAAATATACAAATTATTTTATTTAATTATAGATAATTGTATTTAGTTATATTTTTTAAAACATTAAAATTTGTGTTTTTTATTATTTTGCATAATCGTTTTTGTCAAGTTATTTATACAAACTGAATTTGTAGGTACACTTAAGATTAACATATAGGTATGCTCTTTATAGCAGTTGATAGCAATTACAACATTTTATTAAAATTGTATTTATATTTGATGTTAAAAACAATTACAGAAAATTTTTGTTATGAAATAAATGACTATGGCTAAAGTTCACTTGATGCTACAAATAATATTTGAATTGATCAATTAGTAAAATTCTTTCTTCTGATTGATTAATCAAATACTTAGAAGTATATTTATATTAAGTAGATTGTATTATATGTTAAGTAGACTGTATTATATGAAATTGTCATAATATGTATGTGATGTTGTTTTCTCTGCAACAACTAATGCAATGAAGATATAAACAGCTATCGTTATTGTAGAAAATTACAAGAATACTAAAAAATTATATAAGTTTATAATAAGCTAATAAGCTATATCAAAATTATTCAAGTAGCGATTTTTCTTTTTTAGGACAGATTAATTTCATGTGAGTACAGAAATCTACATAGGAAAAAATGCCACAGAACGAATATATTGAGAGGCACCGTAAGCTCTACGGTCGCCGTCTGGACTATGAGGAGAGAAAGAGGAAGAGAGAGGCTCGTGCGCCTCATAAACGAGCAGAGCAAGCCCGTAGTTTACGTGGTTTAAAGGCAAAGATGTTTAATAAGGAGCGACGCAACGAGAAGATCCAGATGAAGAAGAAGATTAAAGCTCATGAAGAGAAGAAAGTCAAGGAGAAGTCTGATAAGCTGCCGGAAGGAGCGTTGCCTGTATATCTGCTGGATCGCGATGTGACAAAACGCGCGAAAGTGCTGTCGAATATGATAAAGCAGAAACGCAAGGAGAAAGTTGGCAAATGGGATGTTCCGATACCGAAAGTTAGAGCGCAATCGGAATCCGAAGTTTTCAAAGTAGTGAAAAGCGGGAAGTCGAAACGAAAATCGTGGAAGCGGATGGTCACCAAAGTGACCTTTGTCGGTGAGAATTTTACGAGAAAACCTCCGAAATTTGAAAGATTCATCAGACCGATGGCACTGAGATTCAAAACTGCACACGTCACTCATCCTGAGCTCAAGGCGACCTTCTCCCTACCGATTATCGGCGTTAAGAAAAATCCAAGCTCACCTATGTATACAAATTTAGGTGTTATCACTAAGGGAACTATTATTGAAGTGAATATCTCAGAATTGGGTCTCGTAACGCAATCGGGCAAAGTTGTGTGGGGAAAATTCGCTCAGGTTACGAATAATCCCGAGAATGATGGATGTATCAATGCCGTTTTGCTTGTATAAACTTGTATTGTAATTTCTAAGTTAGTGATTTTATTGAATTTCTAAAATTATTCCTTATTGTATATAAGTGAACGATAATATACAGTAGTTTATATTAAAACGAAAAGATAAGTTATTTTAAAAATATGTGCTATATACATAGCCATATGCAGTAAACGGAAATGGATTAAAATAGATTTAAAAAAATTCATTTCAACGTTCGCGAATACGTACTTCTGAAAATCTGAATCCATTTCAATGCCCAATGCTTTTGCATTCATTTATATTCATTTATAGTAATTGCATGATTACATTTTCTATGCCATTTAATCTAAAAATAAGTTCAGTTTTTAAAAGTAAATTGTGAATACTTAATTAAAAATTCTAGATAGAAAATGTAGCTTTTTAATCTAATTAAATTTTTAAAAAATATAATTTATAATAACATAGTTTTCCGTGAAAATAAACGTTATTTAATTAAAAATTGTGACCAGGAAATGCATTGTTTCAATCCATCAAATAAAAAAATATATTGAATCCATGAATTTAAAAATTTTAATCCATTTTAATCCTTTTCCATTTACTGGATATATTGTATATGTATATTGTATATGTTTATATATTTATAAACAGACCTCTTTTATTTGCTACAATGTAATTAAAAAATGGTTTTTAATTGCTGTAGAAAGAAAAGTAGAAAAAAACTTTTTACCAGTACATCCTTTTACTTTTCTACAATTAATCTACTATACCAAAATTCCATTTTAAAAGTAATATATAATAAAACATTTTATAATGATTCAAAACATTCAAAATATTGAAATAATTTAATTAGGACCTTTTGGAAAAATGATATGCGCGTACGCGTATGTATGTAAAAGTAAAAAATGAACATATTTTTTATTTAAACTCATCATCAAAATTCATTTACTCAAATAATTCAATTTATTAATTCTAACAATATACTATAGTATAATATAGTATATTATAGTATATCTAATTGTAAGTTATATTAGTATATTTGTATGTCAAAACGATGCATACGTTTGCTCAAAAATATTATTATGTTTGATATGATGTCAAATATTTTTGTTATGAGCATAAGATATAATTTTGTATTTATATGAGATGAACAAAAAAATAAATCCCTTTTTAACTGAAAATTTTTAATATTCCTTACAGACGAGATACTATTAAAAATCTATTATTACATCTAATTGTTGTATCTGATCATATTATAGCATCAAAATCAAGTCTCGAGTTAAACATTCATTTTACTGAAAAAAAATTCATAAAAGAAACGAATTAATTGAAGAGCTGCAATGGAAAAAATATATTAAATGTATTATTTTTAAAATGAAATTTGGTATAATAGCTGATTGTAACAGAGAAATAAAAGTTCTCATAAAGTTTTTTATTTTTTTTTTTTTACTTTTTACAAGTAAGAAGTCTGTTCTTTTTAGCTGAACTGGCTGCACTAGTTCAGAGTTTATCTTTTTTCTTCCTATGTAGAAAGAGAAAGATAAACTGTGAACTAGTGCAGCCAATTTAGCTAAAAAGAACAGAACAAAGCAAAGCGCGCGCCATTTATTCACTATCGCTGAAATATAACACACACACACACACACAAAATAGGCATTTAACATTATTATTATTATTATTATTATTATTATAGCATGCTTCTCTCTGCTCAAGCATCTTAAGATGTCTCATATGTATTTTCGTTGGTAATTGTTGGCAATCGTCAGATGACGTCAGGACTATCATTTCCGGTGTCGCAAAGAGCGCGTTTACTAGCAGTGGTTAGTAGTTCATGTATATGTCATACTCCCGGGTTGTTTTTCCGCTCCTTCCTTTCCGTGTTCTCTCAGCGTGATCGGAGGTAGGTTCCGGATCGATTTTCTCTAATTTAGAAAAGAGAAATGATCGGGCATGAGGCTGCCGTATTTATTTTCGCGTTTCGTCGCATTGGGCTTCAGATAGCCTCTGATTTATGGCGTCTCCCGGCGCTCTTTGTTCGCGACGCGAAGAAAGTGGTGTCCGCGAGACACATGGCCAAGCGTTGCGATCAACGTGCTCGCGGAAACGATTGTGTGCTTGTTACGTTGCACATTATAATTAGCGGACCATATCGCAGCGATTCGTTGGGATAGCCGCGCTCGATCGATAGGGACGATATTTAGACGAGCATTCGTCGAGATTAACCTTTCCTCGCTTTCTTCAATCGACACGTTGGTTTAGCCTCCATTTCCATTCATTGCCATCTAACCTCACTTCAATGTGGAAAGAATTTTTGGAATAAAGTCCAAATAGCAGTACCAATTTTCTTTATTCAAGCCTCGAATTTTAAAATTAATATCGTGAAATCTTGCAGATATTTTCGGTACTGACTTTTCAAGGAAAATGTGTTCTAAAAAATATGAAAATCAGTTTTTTCAACGAATTGTATGTTTTATGACGTTAAAGTTTTTTTTCCGTTACTCCATTATTTCGAATACTTGTTTATCTTAAGCAATTAAGATACATTTTGTACTGCTTGAAGCAATTGGAATATTTGTTTATTTGAGTTTTGTTAATTGGGAAAGAGATTATCTAGTGGATGCTACATGTTCTAAATATTTCTCTTAGCCTATAGTCTTTAAAGTTCAATTAATATTATATATATGTATGTTTTTAAACCGTGTTATATATATATATATGTATAAAGTTCTTTAGAAAAATATCCTAACTTTAATTTAAAATTTAATTCTAGCTTTAATATAATAATATATTTAACTAAATATGTTATATTTTATTAAATATATTTTTTTGTGAATAGAAAGAGTAAGTTTTGGAATATGTCTCTAATTTTTTTTATTCAGTCCCTGAAATAGATTGTAAGGTTAAGTATATTTGTATAATTGTAAGGTTTAAGTTTAATTTGATTAATTGAATAAATAATTAATGTGACATGTTATAGAATCGCTGAATCATGCAGATCTTTGTGAAAACTCTTACGGGGAAGACCATCACCCTCGAGGTCGAGGCATCGGATACGATCGAAAATGTGAAAGCGAAAATACAGGATAAGGAAGGTGAGAAAATTATCGATATACAAGACGAATTGATCTTGAAAAATAATCAAAAGTATTAATAGTTAAGCAAAATCTATTTGCAGTTAAGTAAAATAATAAGAATTGCTCCTTTGAAATTTAATCTAAAAAAAAACTCATATTTGTTTAAAAAAAATTGGGTTAAAAAAAAGCTAATTTAATATTTGCCTGTTTTTTATCCAACAAAAATTTATTTCTGTGTTAGTTCAGACATCTGATAAATGTTTGATGGAAAAAATGAAGATGAATGTTGTGTACATTTTCTTATTAATATGTGAATTAATATGTAAATTACTTTTGGCTTCTAAATGGAATATTTTATTGTTTTAGGAATTCCGCCTGATCAACAAAGATTGATTTTTGCTGGCAAGCAATTGGAAGATGGCAGGACTCTGTCGGATTATAACATCCAGAAAGAATCCACTTTACACTTGGTGTTGCGCTTGCGAGGCGGTGCCAAGAAACGCAAGAAGAAGAACTACTCCACCCCCAAGAAAATCAAGCACAAGAAGAAGAAGGTCAAGCTTGCTGTGCTGAAATATTACAAGGTAAATTGTCTTCATTATTTTTGGCTATTTTTTCTTGAGTTTTATCTATTTATCTTTGTCAAGATAATTGTTACCTTAAAATTGTGTATTTAAAATCACACATGGAAAAAATTTGTAGGTAGATGAAAATGGAAAAATCCACCGTTTGAGGCGAGAGTGCCCCATGGAGCAGTGCGGTGCTGGTGTATTCATGGCGGCAATGGAAGATCGCCATTACTGCGGCAAATGTGGATACACGCTTGTATTCAATAAACCAGAGGAGAAATAAATTTCTGGGATATATTTCCACGTACGAATTCTGTAAATGTTACGTCTCCTTGTTATCCTATTTGATTAAATAATGTAATCAAAACGTAACTATTATTCTATCTTCAATATTTTTTAAATATTTATACCAATCCTACAAATATCACGTTAAAAGTTATTGGTCTCAATGGGTGAGAAGGAGGGGGGAGAGAATGAAAAGAATTTCTTACAAAGGATTGTTCTAAAAATCATCTATTATTTTCCATAACATTTCACAAATGTCTAAATAGAAAGCGCGTTTACACATTCAATATAACTATACAGTAAATGTTTATGTTAACTTTATAACATAACACCCTATCATTGGTTCATTCTGTACACATAGCATGGAGAACAATCGCGAAAAATCGCTTAAAATAATAGGAAGAATACATATATATATGTATAATAATATAATCCTAGCTAGATCCGCTTTTGTACGTAAAGTATTTACCGATAAATTCGAATTACATAATATCTTACACACAAAATATTCTTATACGATTACTTAACACATAGATTTTTACATTTCCGACTTGCTTCGCCGTTCCGTATGCGCATTAAGACTCTTTAAGTTCGGTTTTAATACTGAGAACATCTTTTCCGTCGCAGTGGGATGAATGCTCATTTGTAGTTCCGTTAAAGATTCTTCTGTCTTTTAAAGCAAGCATAAAATATGAATGTCATAGATATTTATAAGTCTATAGAATATATAAGATGCGGAAAAATTATTTGAATAAACTTCGAATTTATTCGATATTCAAAATTAAACGGGGAACATATAAAAAGCTATTCGTATGTAAAAATTTTTTGTATATATACTTTGTATTAAGATTTAAATTTATAAAAAAAATTTTCAATTAGTATTGTTTTGCATTTTAAGGCTCTAATTTTTCCGCATTCAATATGTATTTGTTAAATTTATTGCTCTCTTTTTAAATTATTGATTTTATCTGAGCTTACTTGTCTAAGCAATTGTGCAGCTGTGTGCAAAACCCTTTGCCATTTCCTCATCTCTACGTTGTGCAAGCTTTCTTGCTGTTGCAAAAGATTAATCCAATCTTCTTCAGTCTTTGGTGTATTTCTGAAAGCCGGAGGAAACGTGATATAATACATATATGAAAAGTATATGGCTATCTTTTTATACAAGAAAAATCAATAATGTGTACTTGAGTACGTGTAAATCCATAATAGTATACGCAGCGGCTTCTTCCAATCCCCATAGTTTGTAATATAACAAGCCATTAATCACCATTAAACACAGTACAGCGACTAGTAGCATTGAGCTAAGAATTATGTTGGTATCGCTTCTAGTATTAACAGCTGTATAAAAGAAAAAATAGGTAGATTGAATTTACAATATATAATACACACTGTATATAATAGAAAAATATTGTGTTATATTACCATGAGCGTGTGGCAAGTTAGAGGGAGAAATTTGATGATTCGCAGATATGTGCTCTGAAGCATGTGTCTGCGACGTGACACCCATCGCGCGCCGTCGTTTTCTTGTTTTTCTCTTCAACAAACCGCTTCCATTACCTTCTTCACTCTCTACTGTCAGCGCTTTTATTAAACTATTGCTATATTCTTCTAAGCCCGACCAACAATTCTTTTCAATCACACCTATTTTTTTCAAAAACAGAATAATACCAGTTTATTCCTCAATATTTTATGATATATACAAGTCAATATATGATTCGTATGTTAATGCATGCATTAGATATTTCGTATCTTGGAACGAAGAGTAGTACAATTTAAAAAGCGCAAATTTTTGAAATATTCAACAAATAAATTGAAATATTCAACAAAGTTTATAAGAACATAAAAAATTAATGTTCATGTATAAAATCAACTATTATTACGCTGACAATCTAATTAAAAACTATCTTTCTATAATCTATAATGAGTTTAAGATTTAACAATAAAAAAAAAACATAAGATTTTAGATTAGATGTATAATACAATCAAATCCATGAAAATAAAATGTAAGTCCGTAACTCTAATTCGACTTATAATTTTCCAGAAATTTTTTTGAATTATAATACCCTTTTTTACCAAACTGTAATTTTATCTTTAACAAATTCAATTCAATTGTTAATTTTGAAATACTTACTCTTCACAAAACCCCATACGCTCTTTTTATACTTAATTTGTGAGTAAATCATAAAACTTGTCTCGTTCTCGGCGATATTGTTCATGCAATAATGCGTCGAAACACTGAAGGAATCGGCATAAGGTATACCGGCGTTAACGCTTTCTACATCGATACAATAAAGATGACCTGGTCTACTGCACGGCAACATCACCTGTATAATACATCGTATTTAAAAAGAAGCATACAATGCGCACGATAACATAAGGTGTTACTAAGACAGAATTTCATTTTTACCTGCGTTTCCGTCACTTGACAGGTTCTCGGACCAATAGCTTGAGTTAAGGACATCGTGTACGAAAGAATTCTCATCTTTTGACCAGTTTCATTGTTTTGCGTCCATGCAGATTGTATTAAATCTACGCAAATAAGAACATTATAAATAGATAGAAATAAATTTACATTATATTTATTCTAAATAATGTGCATATGCAGGATATATCATTTTAAATAATACAGTCAATCATCTTGAGAAAGCATTTTCGGGAAAAGTGTTTTAGACAAAAATTGTATGGTCTGAAGGGGAATAAATAATAGTAAAATCAATTTTCGAAAAAAAATCGATTTTTCAAAGTAAAATTCATCACCATTTTTTAAAACGGTTTTATGAATTGTATGATTTTTTTACATAATATGATTCTTCTAGTTATTTTGCATATAAAAGTGTACAAGTTACCAAAAAATTAATAAATTTTTTACAAAATATTTTATACGAGAGAGAATAAACAAATTATTGTCTGAGACATTTTCTTTACTTATTTTTCAAAATAATCGACAGTATCACTTAAAATAAAACACTGTACATATACAAATGTATAATAAATGTGTATGCGTACAAAATTATATAATATGTTAATTGTATAATAATTAACTAAAATTATATAATACGTAAAAATTGTATATGTAATATTGCTCATTTGCTACAATAATACAACTCAAAAAGTAAAGTTTTCCAAAAAATGAATTTCCAAAAAATTTCATTGTTTTTAATCATTAAAATTTTGTAATATTAATTTTGAAATGTAATTTTGATATAATTATAAAATACTATAGAATAAGTTTTTTTTTATGTTTCCATTCGTTTTCTGTAAGCAAACAACAATTTTTAAATTTAATTTTTGTATTTTAATTGTTGTAGCAAATGAACAATA